ATGAAGTGACTCTCAGAGCAGCTGGAGATGACATTCGTGTTCATATCATCATATAGTGAGACGGCAGAAGCTGAAAACACCGCGAGCGTCATCCGCGCTTTAGTATGCATGTAGTAAACAAAGTGTGCCACGCCATCCGCCATTCATTCATTGCGGAAATCATGGCGCCTTATGCGTGATATCAAATGCTTCCGCAGATTTATAGCATTACTGTAGCATTTCACCTGAGCATTGCGAATCATGCGTATGGCCATGAGAAGCGCTGAATGAATGACAGGCTTTCTGTTGTAACATCATCGCACAAGGTAAATAAGGGTGACATCTAGTGGAGAAGACTAATGATAAGATTCACGTTAATCAGATCTTGTTTTAAATGTGCTGAAATAAATCCCGGAAAAGATCGATTCGCGGCTTTTGAGAATCGATATCGAATCGATGTTATTTAAAAAAACGATTAATTGAAAAATCTATTTTTTTTTGCCCAGCCCTATTTAACAGTAAGTAAACTCTTTAGCTTTCATGACAGGCTTCATTTCTTTGACTGAAAGAAACATAAGCACAAGAGCTTTCAAAAGAATGACTAAGTCACGCTTTTTACACAATTATACACATCTATTGCATCTATTAGATAAATGTGTACAGAACTAGCAAAAGATTATTATTCACCACAGAATTTCACTCTAATATCATTTATAATATGAAGCTACACATTAGCATAACACTAGCTTGCTAGTTATTTTTCACTAAACAATTTAGTGCATTTTTGATTAAACTGATTAAACTATTAACAATTTACAGGAATAAACAACAAAGCAAAATGCATTGTACTAATTAAAAAAAAAAAAGCCACACAAGGCTTGATTAACTAATAAGAACGACTAAGTAACATAATTAAACAATGCCCATGAGGTGAAAATGTACATTACTTTGCATTTAGCTTGGCATTACATTTTTTATTCTAATGTGAAGCTATTAGCATTAGCAGCAATAAAAAAATATTACTTGGACATGAAAACAAGGCTGTGAGGGATAGAGGTAAAACATTAAATTATTCAATTGTTTGTATTGTTGTGGCAGCGGTTTAATTGATGAAAATATGTCTTCTCAAAAACCGCGTTGCACCTACGTACTAATTATTGGATCAAACTGTCAATATTTTACAGACAAAAACATAAAAACTAAATCAATTAATTCTACCACATCTTTAACCGCTAAAACTTATACATTTAGCAATGCTCTTTTATTTACCACAGCATTTCACTAATATTAATTATCTATCTAGCATTATTTTTTTCCACAATATTTTTAATTTCACATTTAAACACTTTGAAATACAGCCTTTTACATTCATATACATTGGTCCACTCCAAATACCTTACAACAATAAGATTGTTGTATTTACTCTAGAAAGATAAAACAAAACAAAAAATGTAACAATTTTTTTTTATAAAAAAAACTAAACCAATAATAAAATTAAAAAACATAATTATGCATGCAAAATTAAACAAGTATATGATGAAGAATTTATCAATTCTATGGGCTGGTTGAATAAAAGGTTTAGACTAGTCTTACAAATTAGTCATCGATATTTTTTTTTCCTTTAAGACTGGTCATATGTATTTAATTCTGTTACATAAAAGCGTAGATTAGTCTACGTTGAATCCAAAAAATAAGACTGATTACCGCTTGGCTAACTGCTAGTTGGTCAGACTAGTTCTTAAGACACAGTCTTAACACAGAGGCTAAGG